GGGGGGGGGTGGGGGACACAGAGACAGCCGCGTGCTGTTTAAACCAACTGTTTTAGAGGGGGAGGTGGAGGACACAGAGACAGCCGCGCGCTGTCTGAACCAACTGTTTTAGAGGGGGGGTGGGGGACACAGAGACAGCAGCGAACTGTCTGAACCAACTGTTTTAGGGGGGTGGGGGACACGGAGACAGCAGTGTGCTGTTTAAACCAACTGTTTTAGATGGGGGGTGGGGGACACAGAGACAGCCGCGCGCTGTCTGAACCAACACTTTTTGTTTGCTTGTTTTGGCGGGGGAGAGACAGACGCACATCTGAGCCGTGCGCTATTTGTACCGACAGTTTTCGAGTGGTGGGGGTGCATTTAGCGTGAGGGTTCAACATGAAGGAAGAGGCTGCCTTTAGCTTTTTACCTAGCACACCTGCATTGTGAGCCGTTAGTTTAGAGTTTAGCATTATGTCAGTGCTGACAGGTGGGGGTGTGGGGGGGGGGGGGGGGGGGGGTGTCGGTAGATGGGGCGAGGCGCCCGCTTGTATAATGGTAGGGGAAACACTGGGGCCAGACCTTGGCGAACATTTTCAGCCTGGAGCTCGGGTCTCTCGATGTGGTGACCATGACTTTTGGATCTTCTACTCCAGCCCATTTATACTCGTCATCCATGTGTGAGCTGACCCCTGCACAGAAACAAACTGATGGTTAAAGAATGTAAGAACATTTGACAGGCCCTGCTAATGGTGGAATGAGCCAACACTTGCCTTCTGCCCCTTCATCATCGTACTCCAGTAGTTTCTGCAGTTGCAGAGCATCTTTGCGTACCTCAGTTGGAAGGAGGCAATTGTCTGCGGTCAAGACAAAACATGTTACAGCATGATTTGTGGTACAAACATTTACAGCGCTAATCACTCATGTAAAATGCAAGAGGAAAATGGAATCCGATTATCATCCCGTCTCACCCTCCAGTGCGCCCTTCAGCTTATGTTTCTTCTCCTCTATTGTTCGCAGCCTGTCCTCCTGTGCCTTCCTGTAGAGGTACTCCCGCCTCAGCCTCGCCTCACGACGAAGCTACAATACCACCACAAAAAACAGCTTCAGGTCAACTTCAAGAACTCGTTGTTTACCTGGTGCCTGTAATTCACCGCCCTCAGTGGTCAGGTTACTGGTGACTGATGTATACAAGTTGGTTTTCAGGGTTCCAATCTAGTGCCAGGAAAATGTTTGAAAATTATATAACTGATACCAATCATCAAAGGGATCTTGTTGTTAAAATGTATTTTTTTTGTGAACAATTAATGATATTGCAAGATGAAACAATTAAACAACAGGGTGCAAGTAGGCCTGTCACAATAACAAATGTTGCTCGGAGATTAATTGTCTCAGAAATAATTGCAATAAATGATAATTCAAAAAGCGTTCAATACAAAAACAACTGGACTTTATTTGTAACAGAAGACGTTTCGCTCCTCATCCGAGGAGCTTTCTCAATTCAAAGAGCAGAGAGTGAGAGATACAGGTCATAAGGCTGAGTGAGATAAGACACACACACACATAAGACACACACACACACATATATGTAGATTGGCAGTTCACACCTAAAAAAACCTAAACAGTAGGTCTTTTGTTCCTCTAATTCACAGTCGAGGCCCCTCTGTTCCCATCAGGTGTGAAAACCGGCTGGGGATCTGTTTTAAAGTTGCATTATATGTTTTTGAAAGTGGAAATCTGAGGCCTCCTCCTCTGTTAAGAGACGGCTTTTCTCTTTTTACATAAATTGCTTCCTTCACCCCCCTCTCAAACCATCTGTGTTCTCGGTCCAAAATGTGCACATTTTGGTCCTCAAAAGAGTGTCCCTTATCTGTGAGGTGGAGGTGAACAGCTGAGTCTTGTCCTGTGGAGCTGGCTCTCCTGTGTTGAGCCATGCGTCTGTGAAGAGGCTGTTTAGTTTCTCCATGTAGAGACTGGCAACAATGGGTGACACTGGAGATCCCATGGCACAGCCGTGCTTCTGTCTGTAAAAACTGTCATTGAACTTGAAATAAGTGGTGGAGAGGCAGAGGTCCAACAGGGTGCAGATCTGGTCCGGGGTGAAGTTGGTCCTGTTGATTAAGTCCTTGTCTTGTAGGAGTTGTTTTCTGTTTGTTTTTGTATTGAACGCTTTTTGAATTCATCATGTCCTGGATGACTGAGAATCTTCACCAGCAATAAATGATAATATTGTTTGAAATTTGACATTAGTAATTATTGTCAAATTTAAAAAGAAATGTTGGTTAATTTTGTGTGTAGTACCTCTTATGACCACTGAATGGCAGTATAAGGCCATTTGAACTGAAGGATGGATAATGAGGGAGCGAGCAGTGTCTCCCTAAGAAAAATGGGAGGGAGGCCTCTTGACGTGACATGGGCTGTGTCTCTTTCCTGTTTTTCGGTTCTCAAAATGGTGGAGGCTCGGTGTGGTTTGAGCTCTTTAGCATAGCATTTTTCACACAAATCTTTTAATAATAATAAAAAAATCAGTAAACAAATTATCAGCTTCTTTTTATAGAGAAAAACAACTTTTTACACAAAAGCACAAGTTTCAACTGTGAACTTTGGAGCTTCGACAAGACAGAGGTTTTTTCCCCGAGGTCAGTCTGTTAGCTTAGCTTCTCAACTTAGCTGCTCAGATTAGCTGCTTTTAACGATCCAAAAATGTGATTTTGGATCGTTAAAACAGATTTTAAAGGAAAGACAAAAAAAGAAAGGGAGGGGTCAGTGAAGAGCACTGGAGTTGAGCCTTATCATCCAGTGTCTTCAGTAAACAGAGAGACACGAAGAAACGATAACGCCGATAAATGAAAATGAGGTGGATAATTTTCATTTATCATGTGATTAATTGATTTCTTGTTTATCGCAACAGGCCTAGCTGCAAGTGATCCAAGCAGCATCACAAAACTTGTTTACATGTGCCCAACATCATCCTAATAACTTCTAATCTTGAAAAAAGCTTTGCTGAACTAAAAGAGGTATAGAACGGAATTCAGCTGTGTTGACATGGAGCACAATGTCCCAGATGTGTGAATGATGTCTCCCACATTTCAGTCTCAAAACACGATGGATGAACCCAGTGTAGAGATTTTATTTGTGCTTGTGGTTAACCAGTTTACCCAGAACTGGGTGGTCACACAAACCAGATGTCATCACATCCATAAGCTGTTGTATCTTTTTTCACATGTTGACCTTTTTGACTCTGCTCCTACCTTGCTTGGCAGGTCAAAGGTGTAACAGTGGGTTAGCTTCAAGCCACACTCCCAGCCTTCCTGGTTTATTCAGAAATTATACCAAAAAAGCCAGAAGATGTCTCAGCCATCCATCCATCCATTTTCTTCCGCTTATCCTGGGTCGGGTCGTGGGGGTAGCAGCCTAAGAAGGGAGGCCCAGACTTCCCTCTCCCCAGCCACTTGGGCTAGCTCTTCCGGGGGAATCCCAAGGCGTTCCCAGGCCAGCCGAGAAACATAGTCGCTCCAGCGTGTCCTGGGTCTTCCTCTGGGCCTCCTTCCGGTAGGACGTGTCCGGAACACCTCACAAGGGAGGCGTCCAGAAGGCATCATAAACAGATGCCCAAGCATGGTTAACATGGATAAATAAAAAAATGTTAGAAATGTAGAAATATTTTCTACCATATCTTCAACCAACTGGCTCCTCTCGACGTGGAGAAGCAGCGGCTCTACTCTGAGTCTCTCCCGGATGATCGAGCTTCTCACCCTATCTCTAAGGGAGAGCCCAGACACCCTGCGGAGAAAACTCATTTCGGCCGCTTGCATCCGAGATCTCATTCTTTCGGTCACAACCCAAAGCTCGTGACCATAGATGAGGGTAGGAACGTAGATCGATCGGTAAAGTGAGAGCTTTGCCTTTTGACTCAGCTCTCTCTTCACCACGACAGACCTGTACAGCGCCTGCTTCACTGCTGACGCTGCACCTATCCGCCTATCGATCTCGCGCTCCATTTTTCCCCTCATTTGTGAACAAGACCCCAAGATACTTAAACTCCTCCACTTGGGGTAGGACCTCCTCCATGACCCGGAGAGGGCACTCTACCCTTTTCTGGCTCAAGACCATGGCCTCGGATTTGGAGGAACTGATTTTCATCCCGGCCGCGTTGCATTCGGCTGCGAACCGCTCCAGCAAAAGCTGTAGATCATGATCTGATGAAGCCAATAAGACCACATCATCTGCAAAAAGCAGAGACGCAATCCTAAGGCCACCAAAACAGATCCCCTCAACACCTTGGCTGCGCCTAGAAATTCTGACCATAAAAGTTATGAACAGAATCGGTGACAAAAGGCAACCTTGACGGAGTCCAACTCTCACCGGGAACAAGCCCGACTTACTGCCGGTGATGCGGACCAGGCTGTGTCACCGGTCATACAGGGACCTAACAGCCCGTATCAAAGGGCCCGGTACCCCATACTCCCAGAGTAACTCCCACAGGGTTTCCCAAGGGACGCGGTCAAATGCCTTCTCCAAGTCCACAAAGCACATGTAGACCAGTTGGGTAAACTTCCACGCACCCTCCAGGACCCTGCTGAGAGTGTAGAGCTGGTCCAGTGTTCCACGGCCAGGACGAAAACCGCACTGCTCCTCCTGAATCCGAGGTTCGACTATCTGACGGACCCTCCTCTCCAGAACCCACGAGTAGACCTTACCAGGGAGGCTTAAGAGCGTGATTCCCCTGTAGTTGGAACACACTCTACAGTCCCCCTTTTTAATAGGGGGACCACCACCCCGGTCTGCCAATCCAGGGGAACTTCCCCCGATGTCCACGCAATATTGCAGAGTCGCGTAAGCCAACACAACCCTACAACATCCAGAGACTTAAGAAACTCCAGGCGAATCTCATCCACCACTGGGGCCCTGCCACCGAGGAGCTTTTTAACCACCTCGGTGACCTCAGCACCAGAGATTGGAGGGCCTGACCCAGAGTCCCCAGGCCCCTTCCTCAGTGGAAGACGTGCCGGTGGGATTGAGGAGGTCTTCAAAGTATTCCGCCCACCGACCCACAACATCCCAAGTTGAGGTCAGCAGCACACCACTCCCACTATAAACAGTGTTGGTGGCGTACCGCTTTCCCCCCCGAGACGCCGGATGGTGGACCAGAATCGCATCGAAGCCGTGCAGAAGTCATTCTCCATGGCCTCTCCGAACTCCTCCCATGCCCGAGTTTTTGCCTCAGCGACCACCCGAGCCGCATGTCGCTTGGACTGCCGGTACCCATCAGCTGCTTCCGGGGTCCCACAGGCCAAAAAGGCCCGATAGGACTCCTTCTTCAGCCTGACAGCATCCCTCACCGACGGTGTCCACCATCGGGTTCGAGGGTTGCCGCCGCAACAGGCACCGACAAGATGTCTCAGTCCCTACCTAATTTACTTATTTATTTTTTAATCAAAGTGCCTTAAATAAATGTCAGAAAATATTTCTACATTTCTAACATTTTTTTATTTATCCATGTTAACCACAGTCACTTTAATCAATCGTATGTGTTCCCAAGAAAATTATGGCAAAACATTGAACAAAAAAATGCTGTAACAAAAATATAGTTTCAGTGTGCACTTAAATATGCAACCATCTAATTTAATAATTTTTATATTACATTTTACACAGTAAAATATGGTTTCATGTTAAGAAAGAGCACCACAGATACCATCTTTGCTGCGAGGATGCTGATGGGGAAGAACAGAGAGGGTCAGAAAGAACTCCATTGTGTCTTTGTGGATTTATAAAAAGCATGTGACATAGTGGAGGTGTGGTGAGGAAATCTTGAGTGGCAGATAAGTTAGACTGGTGCAGGCCATGTGTGAGGACAGCAGGACATGTTACACTGGTGCAGGATATCTATGAAGACAGTAGGAAATGTTAGACTGGTGCAGGACATGTATGAGGACAGCAGCAGGACAT